GGGTAGAATATCAACATTCTTTCTCACGATTGATCTCTGTAGCATTTCAAGTTTTGGTTTTCAGCTAATCCTCCTGCAGACAGCCAGATTTAAGTCTGTGGAAGACATGTTCACACTGTTCAACTCCTTGACTTACATTACACAAAAATCTATTCGGGGACTTTAAATATGGATCAGGGATCAGAGATACCGAGATACCACAGCAGTTATCATTTGAAGCTGTTCGAATGTAACAGTGTCATTTGCATATTGACAGGTTACTGGATTGATCCTTTGTAGTTATTACAAAGGCATCCTTTTGGATATAGAGAAATACTGCATTTGATTACTAAAAAAAACCACCACAAAACCAAAGCCAAAAAAACCCCACCAAAACTTCAGAATTGGGGTTTAAGAAGAAATGCACCTATAAAACACTATTTCAGAAGACTGCCCTGGAACCTCCGAAAACAGCCAAAAGATACTACTGTACTGTTTAACATTTATGCTTGAACAACCCTTTGAAAGACACACATTTGACTTAACAAGAAGGCCCTAAGTAAAAATCCCATAACCTTCTAGCCCTGAACATTTTACTGGAATTTTCTATTCCTGATCATAGCCCAGGGAAAGCATTCATGTGGAGTTTGAGGAAAATACTTTCTTGCCTATAATTAAAAATAGTTGAACCTAGAAATTTTCTAAAACATACACAATAGAAACTTTCTCGTAATTATATCTTCAGCAAAGCTTGCACAACAGCTAGGGTAGAATTAAGTCCACTTTCTATTAAATAAAAACAATACTGAATTGTATCCCACTATGGTGTACAAAGTACATTTGCACAAATTTTATGAAGACTGCAAATGACAACGTAAGAACAGACAGTAATCCAAAAAAGGCTTAGAAAAATCTTCAAGCCGCAACATTAGTGATACGGATCCACCTCTATGAAAACTCAGACATTAAAAAATAATACGTGTTTTCATGCTAAATTATTAGAGTTCTGTTGTTCTGTTTTGCTGTAGAGTTAACTGCTTCAGTTACTACCAGTTTAACTCCAAGGCAAGGAAAATGGAGAAAGATTTCCCAGTGTGGCTAACTAAAAGCCTCAAGTAGCTTATTCGTGCCAGAACTCTGATTCATTAGATAGTCCATCTCATAACCTCAAAAGCTAAAGTGCATGTTTCCTACTGAGAATCTAAAAATGCAGCAGCAGATTCACTTCTATTTCCAAAAAGATTTAAAAGTTTATTAGTTTTCATCAAATAAGGAATTAGGAAAAAATAAAGACTTTGAGTTACTCCTCTCTTCCTCCCCAAAATAAAAGTCCTCTCCACATGCCATATTCCTCATTGTCCTAAATTCTGGACCCTACACCACAAATCTACCACAAAAATGGGCTTGGGCTACAAGTCACTGTATGTAGAAAAAACACTATAGTGAAGAAGCTGAGAAAACACTGTTAACCATACCCATCTGAAGATAAATCATAACCTAAAGTTTTTAATTAAGTCCTACAGAAACTGGATTAAATGGTGGAGTGCACTGACACCACCTATCTCGTACATTTGTTCAGAATACCTACCATTTCCAATTCACTGTTACTTTTACTTTACTTTTGTGCAGAGGGAAGTAGTTCCGATCTCCAAAACTACTTTTCATGTATACGGATAACTGCTAACATTGATTGTTGTTACACTTTGATTACAGTGAAACAAGAAAAAAAAAAAAAGATATTGGAGTTAACTCCCTGTGTTGCAAGAGGGGGGAAAAAGCCTGAAAAAACCTGGACACAAAAACCATGAGAGACCGCCTCCAAGAGCTTAAACTGAGAGCTAAGGAACTACAGATAGCTGGAGAGAACAACGGTGCAACCATACAAGAAGAGCAGGAGGAGTTTGAACAGCAGGCCATTATTTATGAAAATGAGCCCATAACTGAAAGGCACTTCCATGAAATCCAGAAGCTTCAGAATGAAATTAATAATTTGGTGGAGGAAGTTCATAAATTCAGTCAACAACAAAAAAGCCTAGTATCATCAATGAGAAGATTCAGTGTTCTTAAAAAGGAATCTAACATAGCAAAAGAAATAAAAATTGAAGCAGAGCACATACGAAAATGTTTGGATGAACTGTCAAAAACAGTGAAAAAAGCTGAAAATGAACATGGGCCATCACGTGCCACAGTAAGAATTCTAGCTTCCCAGCACGCTTTCTTATCCCAGCGTTACCTAAATGCTATGCTTTCATACAACGATGCTATAACTGCTAAGCAAGAGAAATGCAGGAGATTTATTGCCCGTCAGCTTGAAGTAGCTGGTAAAGAGGTATCCGAGGAAGAAGTCAATGACATGCTCCAACAAGGAAAATGGGAGATTTTCAATGAAAATCTACTCACTGAAGTCAAAATTACCAAAGCCCAGCTTTCGGAGATTGAACAGAGACACAAAGAACTAGTCAATCTGGAGAACCAGGTCAAAGATATAAAGGAACTTTTTATCCAGATATCACTTCTGGTGGAGGAGCAAGGGGAGATGATCAACAACATTGAAATCAGTATGAACAACACTCAAGAATATACTCAAATATCTAAAGAAAAATTTGGGCTTGCAGTCAAGTATCGAAAAAGAAACCCTTGCAAAGCAGTATGCTGCTGGTGTTGTCAATGCTGCAAATGACAAAAGAAATGAACTGTTTGAAATACCAATGGTTCCTACTTAGCAAACTGATCTCCTAAAGCAGTCTCAGGATCTCTTGATTGCTCCCCATTTCCCCTTCCACACAGCTCTCAGGAAAAACAGCATCTGTTTTTCCAAACAGACTTAGAAGAATGCAGAGAGATCTTTATTTGTCCCTGAATTTTATGGTTTCCACAGAAACACATGAACTAGAGGAAAGGATCAAAGGACACGAGTGACACTTTTTTTGTTCTTCCATTCATGAGAAGCTAAAACAAGGTGGCAACAAACCACCTGTGCTTTTGGGAAGCATTGAAAATACTGTTAGTCTCAAAGACAGGATTCAGAAGAACGGTTTAGTTATGTTTCATAAAATAATAATTAGTGGGTTTAATTGCCTTGCGGTTTTTTAGCACTCATATTTACTTGGTTCAAATTCTAATCTTTTTTCAGGAATCATTACTAACAATCCAGAACCTGATGCCTAAACAAAACAAGAAGTCAGAAAACAGTTATCAGGAGCGTTTCAATACTGCCTCTATAGGAAAAGTTACTTACAGGCTTACTTACCTACTTAACACCATGAAATAATGCTCATGTTATAGTAGGACAACATGCACTGTCTTATGGAATGCAAAACAGACATTGGGTTATTTATTTTAATAACACCATTCTGTATTTCTTACAGATAGGAGTTGAGCTAGTATTTTCTGACCACATTAAAGATCACTAGCAGCAGAAGACCACGTCACCAAACCTACAGGGACATTTGTTAGCAGCCTGCTGAGAAGCCAAGCATTAATAAACTGACATAGAGATATTTACATTATTCAACTACATAGGCAGACCCCTAGCAGGTAATGATAGAGGAATATGATACTTTATTACACAGTGATAAGACATGTTCTTACTGCTGCCTAGCCTATCTAAATATGCAGTTGCCTCTGCAGTCTCACTTTTGCTAGTACAAAAATGAAGGAAAAAATATAATGAAAAATAGAACTCCATCCTTGTAAAAATAAACATAATCTAGAATCAAAGAACGATTTGGGTTGGAAGGAACTTCTGGGGGACATCCAGACCAACCTCTTGCTCAAACTCTTGCTCAAATCAAGACAGGAATTTCCCTGGTTGCAGCTCTTGTCACCGCTTCTCATCCTACCACCATGCCTCTGAGAAGAGCCTTGTTCCGGTATCTCCACACCTTACTAGTAGGCAGCAGGAAGATCTCTCCCTTAGTTTCTTCATATTAAGTCCAAACAAATGCAGCTTTCTGACTCTCCTCATATGTCACATGCTCCAATACCCGAGCAGTTTGGACTCACTATAGTATAATCAACATTTGTCTTCACGGTCTTGTAGTGGGAAGTCCAGAACTGGACATGGTGTAGGACATGCATTTATTTGTACAACTACAGGAGTGGCCAGAAGAACTAGTCAAGGGTTTCCAGAACTCTAAATGGTTCCATGAAATTCTGCTGATTGTAGAAGCCTAGGATCCTCATGTAGGTATGCAAGACAGACACCTAAAGTAGTAAATATGAATACCTCCCCTGAGTACCTAAAACAGAGTGGCTAGCCATTGACTCAACCTGTCCCTGAAGATAACTTAGATGTTCTTTATTAAATAGCTGAATTAGCAAGACAGGAAGTATGCCACTGCTTTATTTTGCAGCAGCAGTTATTTCTGCGGTGAAGAGAAGCAAGCAGATGCGGAATGCTTTTGCTTTCCATAGTCCCAATGGTTGGCTTCTGCCCTGTACCCAACCCTTTTGGAACTGAATGAGAAATAGTGCTCTAATGCAATTTAACAGAAAATAACAATGCAACTGAGACAAAAAAAAGTTATTTCCAAAAAGAAAAGGAAAAAAACACCAAAACCAAACACCAAACCAGGGACGTATTTCTGAACTCCTTTATGCTGTGCAAAGACACAATCAATATCACAACATGTGGATACAGTCAGAGAAATCGAAGCAAATTGCACTGCAATTCTGAAAGACATTAAGTGAGCTAGATGTCTTTGATTTTTTTTTTCCACCAGATGCAATTAATCTACTATCAAAAGGGACTACCGAATTATTTTCACATTGCGATATTTATAAATAGTTGGATTCCTTTCATCCCAGCTTAAAATTGCAACTGAAATTAACTGTTATCAAAGGACAATCAGAGGTCTGAGCCTTAAAGTGAAAAAGATTGTTTACACAGTAGCGACAAAAAATGAAATTAAATAATGACACCACTGATACTATTCCATTAAATAATCTCCCTTAACTGTTACATATATGGAAGCTACCTTTACATTCCAAGGGCAGAGTAGAAACTAGCCAATAAGCAATACAGAGAAAAAAGTGGCTATGGCCAACATGCTCTTTCATATATATATGTATGTATAGAAACGTATATAATACACACAGAAATACACACTACACAGGAACACCACCCCATCTTCTTTTTCTGTTTTTACTTTCAGGAAAAAAAAAAAGGTACATAACAGATAGCCCTTTCCTTCTCTCCTGGGCCCTTAAAAAGAAAGGCATTACAGTACTTCTGTGAAGGATTATTGCAGCCAGCAGTGACAGAAGAGAACACAAAATATTACAAACACCACCTGTTTACACAGCATCCCCCATGCAGGAGTGTTCACACAAGCATCCTTATCTGAGGGAGAAATGAGTTCCTGGGCTAGCCCTTCCCCTTCATGCAACAGATATGTTTCTTTGAGGTAAACATGGTCTTCTTAAACAAGAGCTGTACTTTAAATCCTGGAAGAAAACTCAAGTTTCACTAATACTCAGGAAGACAAATGCCTATCCGTACACGAGTAAATAATTCAAGTAGTTTTCAGCTGTATATTGGTTAGAAAATGGTAAAACGGAAACATACATAACATGCTGCAGAAGAACTGAGAAGACAGAAAACCAGAAAGACTTGTGGAAAGCTTTTTCTTAATACAATTTGATATTGAGCATATCAAAACAGCAGAAATTTTGCAGTAATCATTAAAATAACTTTCCAGTGGTTCTTTTAGTTACATAGTTATGCAAAAGAGCAAACAAATTAAAGCAGAGCTGCTAATGTTCTAATAAGAAATGTGAAATATTAATAGCTATAATCCCTCATCACTAAAATAACAGGTGGAATGTAGCTGGAAAGTAGCTGGAAAGTAGCTGGAAAGTAGCTGGAAAAGAAAGGAAAAGAAAGGAAAAGCTGCCCAGAGATCTCTCCGGTGTAAAAATATCAGCCATAGCACATGGACTTTTATTTCCTCTTGCATATGTTTCATGTCAAAGTAAAAAAAACCAAACACACACACACACACAAATAACCCTAAACAAAACCAGTATTTGCCTACATAATATGATGTGTAAGTGTTCCTTTCTGATAAAAGGACAAAAAAATTCCTAAGAGAAGAAAATTTAAACTTGCATACCTATATGTCTTGAGGATGCTGACAGAAGAATTGACCCATGAATGTAAGAACTGTAAGAACTCTTACTTTCTACAACTCAATTTTCCCATACATAACAGACTGATTAACTACTTAAGCACTTGAGTGTTAAACGAGACCTACACGAGCAAAGCAAACATAAATTAAGTAGTAACACTGAACAGTAAAAAAAATGCCAAATGTAAAGCTTAACGTCTTCAAGTAATTTGTACTAAGAGTCAGTAATAGCCAATACTATCAGCACTTCAGGAAAACTGTCTTAAAATGATACTGTGATACTTCCATGGGCGGTGATAGATCAGATGCCAAAGTACCAATTCAATTTGAAGCAAGTATCACACTGAACAATATCAGAGCTCTTATATTCCCATATTACTGTAATATAGAATGTCGTGTTCCAATCTTATGCCCACATTGCACAATTCAGCCTATTGTCTTTCCAGGCTATTGGGCCTCCACTTCTCCCTGACGAGTGCTCAGGCTCGCTATCCATTCCTTTATCAGGGAGGATGAGGAGCAAGAGTTGTCTTTCCCTCTATTTTTGTTCTGCCAGCAGTGTATCTTCTTACCCCTGGCAAAAAGCAGAGTTGCCACATGCATATGCATATTATCGGATGAGGGCATACCATAATATAATAGATTGGGACGGAAGAAAAGATGGCAAAACATTCAAGGTCAGGTCGGACAGGGCTCTGAGCAACCTGATCTAGTTGAAGATGTCCCTGCCCATGGCAGGGGGGTTGGACTAGAAGACCTTTAGAGGTCCCTTCCAACCCAAACTATTCTATGATTCTATGAAAAGGAAAAGTGGGCCAGTGACTCCAACTCTGCTTTGCTCTGTAACGAAGATTGCATACCAAACTCTTTAGTAATGGATCCTGTTCTTCACTGTGAAATGAGACCCATCTACCCATAATAATTCATGGCGGTATCTTGCTAGCACTAGTGCTATACTTGCTAGTATAAAGTTGATTACGAACAAAAGACAGCTAAGAAGACATGCAGTGACGTAAATTGACATTAATTCCCAGTGCTTTTCAGAAAGGACCGTTGCTTGTTTTGGCAGATGTAAAACAAAACAGGAAAAATATTCTGGGGAAATGTTCTGTTATTCAAAGAAATAATAGCAATAGTGCATTTACTGGGAAAAGCTAGCATTTAAAAAAAACACAGATTTTTAACTTTAAGAAAAAAGCTACTTTCTCCAGAATAACACACATACATTTTTCAAGGACCTACTCTTCTACTGGAAAGATTTTAAAGTATTTGTTGTGGATATAATTTTCCACATACTTCATAAAATAACTGAGGGCCTCATTTGCACACCTCCCTATACATTACAATTAAAACACTTTTACTGCACACGTCACAGTCCTAGCTGGACAACATATCCAAAATTGTTCTCTCACCTCTCTTCCCCACCTTCTTCCAAATACACACATTAACTTAGTTGCTCACCTGGGTGATAAATTATAACTAATTTATGTTATAACACAAATTATATGTTTATAATTTAATTATATTATATATATAATAAATTAAATGT